ACTCACCAGAGAAGGACATGAAAATATTTACTAAAATGGTAGTCCCTAAGTTCAAGACATTTTAGTAGACTAATGGAAAGTATGTAAATAACCCAATCTAACTTTAAGAGATGCCAGTGACAGTGTCTAAAAGGAAATTACCAGAAGGGATTGACAGCAATTAGAAAATGCAGAAGAGGGCAGCCCTGGTGGCCCAGCGGTTTAGCACGACCTTCAGCCCAGGGTGTGATCCTGGAGACCTGGGATCAAGTCCCATGTCAGGCTCCCTGCACGGAGCCTGCTTCTCCCTCTGCCTCTCTCTCTCTCTCTCTCTCTCTCTCTCTCTCTCTCTCTCTCTCTCTCTCCCTCTGTCTGTCTGTCTCTCTGTCATGAATAAATAAAATATTTTTTTAAAAATGTAGAAGAAAGACATTAATAGGGCCTGTATTGGGTCTGCAGATCCCTTTGGTTGGCACTGCCCCCTTCACGCCACAAAATTTTCCAACCCGTGAGCACAAGATGTCTTCCCATTTCTTTGTCTTCTTTAACCTGGTGCAGCAATGTCATGGAGAAGTTTTCAGTGTGCAAGTCTTTTGCTTCTTTGAATAGATTTATTCACAGATACTGTTTTGGGTATTACTGTAAAAAAAGTTTTCTTAATTTTCTTTTCAGATTGTTCCTTGCTAATGTATAGAAACAACTGGTTTTTGTCTATCTCATGCCCTGCAACTTTACAGAATTAGTTTATTGACTCTATTAGTTTTTGAGTGTGGGTTATTGAGGATTTTTCTGCATATAGGAGCATGTCATCCCCAAAAAGAGATTGTTTCATTTCTTCTCTTTCACACTATTTTTGCTTACCTTCAGTTTTGAAAGATATTGGGCCAGGTGTAGATATTGGGTCTACCCTGCCACAGGCCACCCCTGGACTTTGCAGGTCAGAGATGAGTGAGGTTCCCTATTTTGGGTCACCTCCGCCCAGGAGTCTTGGATCAGCATGTACAGTTCCGGCCAGGAGAACAGATCGGGGAGGGGGAGGAGGCTTGTTCTGTGCAAGCCCAGCTCCAATTGGAAGGATTTCAGTGACCCCTGAAAGCCTCTACAGGGATGGCTCATGGCCTGGGAGCTGCCAGGACATCAGAGGTCAGAAAAAGACAAATCCCGAAACACCCAGCCCAAAGACCCTGTGTAGACATAAGAGGAGATTAACTGAGCCAGAAGTCTTCTCCAACAGGATTGTGAGCCTCAACATGGGCACAGGGCCTTCAGTGGTCACTGTGGTCCTTCCAGTTGGAGCTACCTTTCCAGGTGGTGCCCTCTGGATGTCTCTAGAACTTTTACCTGGTTCTAAACAGCTGCCATAATAAAGGTTTTTAATTGCTGCTTTGAACAACTTTTCACATCCCTCCATTCTGGGATTCCTCTGGGACAGAAGCCACAAGTCCAAAGTTGAGTCCTTGGTCCCGCTGCACTGGACCCCAAGCAGAATGCATCTTTCACATAGCACTTATGGGTACCTCCTCGGTGGCAGGCACTGCTGTGACTGTATCTGTCCTGAGCAAACCCTAGGTCCCTGCCACCATGGAGCTTCCACTAAAGGCTTGAGGGTGGCCTGGTGGGGGTACAGCTGGTCAGTGTCCTTCCCACTGCCCACCCACACCCTCTCACTTTGAGAGGGAATTTGCAGTGAACAAAACAGGTGAAGCCAAACAAGAATAGGAAACGTGACTTCAGCTTGAAAGACTTTGGTCTTCCCCTGGAGCTTAGTGGCTTTCCAGGCATCCCAGAATGGATGGAAGAGCCTTGGATCCAGTTTCCCTGCATCACAGGACGCAACTCACCCCTGCTGGGTGTGGCAAGGACCCAGCCCCATACCCCCAAATCACCTTGAAGCAATCTGGTCAGTCCTAGCAGATTTGCAGCCCAGCAGATCCTTGCTTCTCCAGCAACCGGGCCTCCCCATCTCTACACTTGGGAGAATCACCAGCCAGCAGCCCTGCCCTGCCAGGGCCATGCAGTCCAGGATCCTCCAGCTCTGTCTTCAGGGACAAACAGCTTGCACATTTGCAAGCTAGGGCTTTCCCTTGGGCATCCTCCCTCTCCTCTGAGAGCCATGAGCAGCTTCTGAAGACCCTTTCTGTGTTTGAGATCCCTGGTGTGGACTTGGATAAAACTTCTGTACATGAAAAACTCCATTTTGAGAAAAGCTCCATTATCCTTTTTGAAACACATAACTAAGAAACTCGAACTGGACAGACCTTTAAACTGGGCCAGAAGTGGCTACCGTTTTACAAGCAGCTGCTCTTGAAAATTCAACAGGTCAACAGTCATCTGAACCATAAATCTTTTGGTAATGAACAAGGCTGTAGCCTCAGAAAAATATTCGGGGTGTGGGCATCCAGCATCCTGAGCCCATTCGGGTGCTCATGATCAAGCGAGAGCTCCACAGATTTGGAGCTGACAGGGTGCTGACTGTACATCTGTTGGGCACCCCAGGTCAAGGTAACTAAGGACAAGTGGCTGAAGAGGAACAGTCACAGCAGCAGTAGGAGCCGTGAGCTGTGGAAGGGTTGTGTGGGATGGTTGGGGGTACCCCAAGAGATATCTGGGAAGCCGTGATATCTGGGGAGCTCCAGGCCACAGAGAGGCAACCAGTCCCAAAGAGAACTGAATAGTCCTTAGTGTAAAATAAAGCCCCAGGAAGACACTCAGAGTGTGGGCTCCCTCCACCCTAGAGGCTCTGCATGCAGGTGGTTGGCTAGGCCATATGTCCACAGGCCTGGGGTGTCCCCTGCAGCCCCAGGCCAGCTCACAGCAGGCCAGGATATCTGGGACCTAGAACAGGGCAATGTTGAGTGAGACTGGTTACCAGGAGGAAACTGTTGGGAGTCCCAGGCACTAGCCTTTGCTAAGCCTTAACTAAGTCTTAACCTGCATAATTGGGCCTATTCCCCTTCAGGGAAGAGCTGGAGAACTTGCATTGTCCAGGTTGGGACCTGACCACGGGTTGGGTGGCCTTCAAAAAGCTATACCCAAGGGACCTTGAGCTCTGGAGAAGCTTGGCGCGAGCACACACACACACACACACACACACACACACACACACATACACACACACACACACACCGTATCCAGGCAGTCTGTCTAAATGGTGACTGTCACCAGTTTAAAGCTGTCACCTCAGCAAGATTTTCAGTGGATGGGTTTCCTGTGCCCTGGAGGCTGTGCAAGTGGTTGAGGATGGGCCTGAGCTCCCGAGACTGGGCTCACCAAGGCCAACTCATATGACCACGTGGCCAGATAAACCAGGGGAGCCAGGCACCTGTATCAGGGAAGTTCTAGGGATAGGCCAAGTCACAGGAGCAGGTGCCTGGGGATGCACGTCTGCCTAATTTCAGTCCAAACCTACAGGAAGGCATGTATCCTGCTGGAAGGCAGAGATGGGGAAATGTGGACCGACTAGGTACGGAAAGTGTGTCCACGGGCTGTGCAGGGCAGAGCACCTGCCACCTGGAACAGGGCATCTGTGGGGAGAGGCCAGGTCACAGGAGCAGGCTGGCATCGGATTCGTCGGAAGCTTTAGTTGACACAAACACACACGTCCCCCTGAAAGCCAATCTAGAAGCAACTGCACTGCATTGCCAGAGCCAGTGGGAGCTGGCTGACAGGGGTAACCCTCCCGCAGAAGGGGGGGCCTTGATTACCGGGGCCTTGATTACCGGGGCTGCTGGGGACCCCATCGGGCAAGCAGTCCAAATGAGGACTGACTGCCACCACCTTCAAGCTGTCACCTCCCATAGACTCTCAGGGTTGGGATCCCTCTGATCAGGAGGCTCCCCTGGTGGTTCAGGACCCGCCTGAGCTCCACAGGCCAGGAAGGCCCCAGATTCCCCCAAAGGGGCTGAGCAGGCACCTTCTGAGCATGCGTGAGGTTTGCAGATCCAGGGAGCTAGGCAACAGGGTGAGCATGCAGAGAGGCGGGTCTCTGGGGTGGGCCTGGGATGGCCCACAGCTTCTGCCCAATCCCAGACCTTGTCCTACACAAATGAGCGTATTGCTCCCCCAGAGGTAAAGCAGGAGGAGTCTGGCCTGCTTTGCCTGTGGGGCCTGGGGGGGGGCTGCCGGGGTGTCCTCCCCCTCATGGAGGAGCCCTGATTCCTGAGCTTGGGACCCCACCAGGCAGGCAGCCAGTCCCACTAGGGCCTGTCACCATCCATTTCAAGCTGCCCCCTGAGAAGAGTGTTTGGAGGGAGGGCTTCTTCCACCCTGGAGGCTGTTGGGGTGATTTGGGACTGATCCACTGGCCTGGAGGTCCTCAGCTGGCTGACGTATTCTCGAGGCGCCCAAGTCAGGGGAGCCAGGGACCTGGGATGTGGCAAATGTTGAGAGTGGTGGCATCTCAGGGACTGGCTATTGGGGGCACATGAAATCTATCTGCTTCCTAGCCTGAACCTGCACAAATAGGCAGGTTTCCCTTTAAGCCTAAGCTGGAGGAAACTGACCTGCCTTGCCAGGGTGCTTCTGGCCTGGATCCTCCTCCCATAAGAGACACCTGGGTGCCTTGAGTTCTGGAGGAGGCAAGGACTTAAACAGGTGGCCAGTCCAAACTGGGGCTAATTATCACCAGTTGAAAGCTGCTGCTCAGGAATTTTTGTGGAATTTTATTAATTAAATTGTAGGCTCTGTGGGATATAGTCCCATCCTAACATCGGTGGAGGAAGGTCTTTAACAAAAACTGAATTAGTAAGAAATATTTGTGGGATTTTGATCCCAATGACCTGATGGCTAGGCAGGTGGTTCAGGACCGGTTCACCCCTCATGGGTGCAGAGGCTCCAACTGCCACTGGTGGGCTGATGGGGCGTGTACTGCACATGGGCAAGCTGGGAAGTCCGCGTGGCCAGTGATTTGGAATAGGGCAAGTGGCTGGAGAAACTGGGTCTCCAGAGTAGGCCATCGGGGTTACAGTGCACCTGCCTATTCCAAGCCTTATCTGACACAATTGTGCACATTCTCTCTGAAGGCACAGATGGAGGAGTCTGGATTGCCAGGACCTGGCTTGTTGGGCTGCAGGAACTTCCTTCACTGAGAGACCCCTGGGAGCCTTGATTACTGGTAAGCCTGGGGCCCATCCAGCGGCCATTCCAAAGGTGTATCTCAGAAAGATTTTTGGATGGTTGGCTGCTTATAGCCTGGAAGCTATGTAAGTGCTTCAGGACCAACCCAAGCTCTGCAGGCTTGGATGGCACCAGGTTGCCCTCTGTGGGCTGACGAGATGCTTTGAGAGCATGCTCCAGCCGCGAGGGTGAGTATAGGCAGGCATCTGGCCCAGGGCACGTGTTTGGAGAGACCAGTTCGTGGGAGTGGGCTAGCAGGACACACAGCATCTATTTCCAAGTGCTAACTCACTCAAATGCGCATTTCCCTCCTAAAGGCTGAGCTGAGGAACCTGGAAGCCTTGCAAGAGCTGATTCCAGCATGCTGACCATGGTGTCCTCAAGCAAGAGACACCTGCAGAAACCCCGACTACAGAAAGTAAGTACATTTGTCTCTCACCCATTTCAGGGGCTGCCTCTAAAGGACCCTTAGGGGTGAGCACCTTCCATACTGGAGACAATGCAGGTAGTTGGGGAGCTGACAGGGTGATGTGTGAGCCTCCCAGGTCAGGGGAGCCAGAGACTTGGAACAGGGCAATGTCAGGGGAGGTTAGAAGCAGACTCTTGGGGGTGGGAGGGTACCTGCATCTGCCTGAATCCAAGTCCCAACAACACAAATGCATATATTCCCACGAAGTCTGCTTGATTTGGGGAGCAAACAGTGCTCAGACTGATTTTGTCTTTGCTGACAATGTCTGTAACACCGGTTCACTATGCAGATATCTCCAGCTACTAGCACACAGGGCAATGCTTTTTAATTTACCATTAAAGAAATAACATATTCCAAACTAATGCTAGACTAATCACAGGCAAAGGGAAATGAAAGCGATAAAATTCAAATGTATTTGAGGTATATTTTTATAGGAATCGGCCCTTGGAGAGACACCTGTGCCAACCAAGATCTGGCCTCCAGCTGCCAGAACCAAAGTAAAAGTCAGGTGTTGCGAGAGCACGTTTCTGGAGAAGGAGGGCACTGGTGTTGATGGGCCAAATGTAGTTCCCTGAGGGGCCCTTGCATGGCTTTTACCACTGCCCATAAGAGGGTCTCCTTTTCCTTATAAGGAGTTAATTGTTTCACGGTCTTAGGAGAGAGATTTTAGGTCAGCAGAGTGTCGCTTTGCTAGGACCGAATCTCCTCGGATAGACCTTACAGCTGTCAGAGTTAATAGTCTAAGTGTCACTCTATCATAGTTGCTTCTCCTGTGTCTTCACTGACAAGCCCCCAGGGGGGCCCCTGCAGCAGCCAAGCTACTGAGTTCTTACAGGTGAGGGCATGTGGGATGATCCCATCCTGACACAACTTTCTGCTTTCTTAGATCAAAGCAACTTTACCCCTAAAAACAATTTTGGGAGGGAATTCACCGGAAATAAGTGGATTTGAAATTATATCACATCAACACACAACAATCCACCCTGTGATTTCAAATCACTCACACAGTAATTCACACTGGGGCCTAATTAATGCCTTGTACAAATCCAAGTCCACAGAAACGTCAGTCCGCCCTGAGATTGCACATCATTTACGGTCTTAATCACACACTCAGTCACAGTTTGTGAGTATTTTCCTTTTGATGCACGTTCTCAGACCCATACTTTAATTACCAGCTCCAGCACCTATGTACCTAATATGATCACTATAAGCACAACAAAGAAATCTTGAACATGACGCTGTATGTAACCGTCAAATGATCAAAGGTTAAACTTCTTCTTTTTTTAAAAAAAAAGATTTATTTATTTATTCATGATAGACATTGAGAGAGAGAGAGAGGGAGGCAGAGACACAGGCAAAGGGAGAAGCAGGCTCCACGCCAGGAGCCCGACGCGGGACTCGATCCCGGGTCTCCAGAATCACACCCTGGGCCGAAGGCAGGTGCTAAACCGTTGAGCCACCCAGGGATCCCCAAAGGTTAAACTTCTTAAGCCAGTCATTTTTAACTTCCTTGACAATCATGTTTTCATGTAAATATTATTTTCTTAAGGTATCCAGGGGGGCGGCGGGGAGGACATGCATTAGCACCATCAAGCATGTGTCCGTACACCAGAATATGACAATTCAAGGCTGCCATTTGCTTCAGGAATGCATATTTTTACATTTCCTGAAAAGTTCTTTTACTTTATTAGCCTCAACTTCCAAATGTTTCTGTACTTGTCTTTACTTTCCTAACCTATGACATTTATAAGAGTAATTTTTGGAGGTTCATTGTAAAATATTTCTCTTTTAATAGTGCCTTTATATTCTCTAGCCTCCAAAAATATCATTTCCTTTTCTTTGTTACATTCATGACCTGTTCTAGGTGTACGCATCCCATCACATTGTGTCCTTACATTTCCCTTGATGCTAGCAGGTTAGGGAGAGGCTGGGCTTAGACCATACTGTCCTGGTCCAATTTTCTAATATTATACAAAACTGCCTAAGAAGGCACTGAGGTGCTCACAGGTACTGAAGCACAAGTTCTAAGAGGTATAAGGACATTTTCACTCCATTCCAACAACACATCCTTTGGATCATGTTTTCCTTTCTGTCATAAAGGAGCTTTTGTGGCCAGTAGGTTTCATTCTGTCTTTTGATGTTGGGAAACTACAGAAGTGTGGTACCCAATGTTGTATTTTCTCCTTGACATGCCAATAGTCCGATTTCACGGTTGCCCAAGGAATTGTGACCGTTAGGATATGTGGTGTCCACTTCACTTCTGGCGGGGTCATCTAGTATCTCAGGTGACCAGGAGTGCTCCAAGATCATAAATGTTCTGTGATTCTTTGTATCCCACATTTCAGCCAATCTTAACTGCAACAATTGTCAATCTAGAATTAGAGAAACACCATTCAGGTCAGTTTTTCAGTATTTTGTTATTTTTAGCAATTTCTCTAACTGCTTTATGTGGAATTCCCATTGCTCTGGTAACTTCCATGTGAGATTCACTCATATTTTGTAACATACTGCTGATTTTATCCATCTATGTACCCAGTGATGACAAAGCTGCCGTGGCACATGTGTTAAATTGAGATCGTCTGGTTTCAAACTTTTTAAAGCTTAATATGATCTGATTGATTTAGAATTAAGGAAAAGGTGGCTGCCATTGTTTCTCCACTTAAACCTCCTACCCACCCAGCGAGGAACTGTAAGCATTTCTTCCTTTTACTTAACTCTGTTTTGAGCATAGGTTGCAAATTGGACATAAGTGAAGCTGGATAGAACTGAGCAGTTTCAGGGAATCTCTGTCTGGAAAGTCCTGCATATTAAATTTCAAGTCCTAAGCCACTATTGTAGCTCCCAATATGATTGTGTAAGGATTTATTAACAAAGAATCCCATATTCTCGGGGCAGAAATCTGTGGTATGAGACTGAAGCCTGCTATATACCCCCCAAGGTTAATGGTGTCATGTGCTAAGTTTCCTATGTGTTCTCTGCATGCATTAGTAGGTGTCCCTGTTCTGCTAAAGTCTAGACATAGTGTACGTGGATCTATTGTTAATGATCTAATCCATGACCATTAGTTTGCAAGCTCCTTGGGAGCTTCCTAGATGTAATGTGAAGGTGGTCCCTGTTCAGAGGGCAGAAAGAGGCAGGATTACTAAGCAGAGACACTTAAAGCAAAAGGAGTAGATCTCCTACCCACCTGCCACATCTTAAAGGTTCAAATAGAGGCCTCACTGGCCTTAGTCATGTAGACCATCCAGATGGTCTCAACACCACTTTACTATCTCAAGGCTGTGTCCATGGAGCAGATTCTGGGAGCAAGGAAGGCAAGGGGATGGGACAAGGAGCTTCCAGTTGCCTGGGTCCACTTCACAGCAAGTGGCAGACACTCCACCTTTCATGATTAGCTCTTCCAACCCCACATGTACCCCTCTACTGCAGTGTGCCCTGTGTGGTCAGCAAGGGGCTTCACTAGCCTGGAGGTGGTGCCTGTGGTCTGTCTGGCTGCGCTGGAGGCAGATGCCATGGCTACAATGCAAGAGAAAACAAGACAAGGATTCCCAGAATTAGTGACAACTTTTTCCACCAGGAGTCCCATGATCCCAACCACTGATTTATTAAATCCAAGCTGGTGGCCCGATCACTCAGGGCATTTACTTGTATCCTCATGGGACATAATAAACTTGACACATTAGCAGATTCATGAGGTACGGACACAGAGCATTCCTTCTGAGGCAGTAATAATGTCCCAGGCTATTATATTTGAAGGACGGTTGTTCTCATTAGAGATGTTTCAGGGTTCAGTAAGGATGAGATTTTTCAGCATTCCTTGGAGGCTTAGTGAGTGAATTAAGTGAGGGCTGTATGTGCCATATGTGCTGCAATGTCTGCAAAGCCCACGGAGCAAACAAAGACAGGAACCAAATGATCATACCAGTCAAAGACAGAGTGCCCATCTTGCCCATCTTGTCAACTGATGTTACCATGGGGAAGATTTTCCAGAAAACCCAGGATAAAATGGCCAAAGGTAGAAGCCATAGCCAAAGATTTGTGCCACAAAACCACCAGGCCCCATTTGGGGCTACCCAATAAATACCTGAGTGGTATGACCTGTCAGTGCCAGACTAGTCACTCTCCTTTCACCTGAGAGAATGGCTGCACAGTCCCAGTGGTATTCATCCCATGTTTCTGGTAAAAAGGGGTTTATTTTGTTTAGAGTGATTTTTTTTTCCTATTTCCAACATAGGGATGCCCAGCTCCTCAAATCTCCTTGAACCAAAGTAAGCCACATAAACCCATCCCAAACCTGAGCATAGCCACTCATGGTTCTGCCAGTGGTCTTTCTAGGACCTTGCTAGTCAACAGTTTGATGCACTGCCTTTATAGTGTGTTTGGCAGAAAAAGAATACCCATGCCTGATGTTATCAGTAGTGTGTGTACAAGCCAGGTTTCTGGGGCAGCCCCGGTGGCGCAGCGGTTTAGCACCACCTGCAGCCCAGGGTGTGATCCTGGAGACACTGGATGGAGTCCCACGTCAGGCTCTCTGCATGGAGCCTGCTTCTCCCTCTCCCTCTGCCTGTGTCTCTGCTTCTCATTCTCTCTCTGTGTCTCTATGAATTTAAAAAAAAAAAAACCAATTTCTAGATCAGTATTGGTGATATCAGATGAACCAAGGGCACTGGTTCTACCTTGTTCTTGCATAGTGTAGTGCGTTACGGCCATCAGATCCCTTCCCTGGAGGGACAATACCCACCATAGGCAATCCTGGCAAGCTCGAGAGGGGCAGCTGCCCATATATCCAAGAGTTGGCTTGATTCCTTGTCAGGCATATGCATGGGCCCACTGTAGAAAGGTATTTCCTTCAGGTGCTCACCTTGTGACTGGGCACTACAGGAGCAGCAGAACCTGAGGTCAAAAGACAAATATTTAGGAGGAAAATGTATGGGGAGGCCTTC